TTCTATTTTCAAGATATCATAAATTTTGTATATTCAATTATAACTTTTTATTATTATTGAGGAGATTTTACATGGTAGAAAGCTATATCATCTAAACGATTTCAAGTTGTTACAATTGAAAGGGAATTGAAGATGGGAGTTATACGTAAGGGTGCACAAAGTTCGTTTAACCAAGACAAACCAACCGAAATTGGAAATTCGGTTTGGACCGAAATCGAAAATTCGGTTTAGTTCGGTTAACCAAAACAGAATATTTGGTTCGGTTTTCGGTTTACTTTTTTTAAAAATTTCGATTTTCGGTTCGGTTTGGATTATAGTGATCGGTTAACCGAACTGAACTAAAAACCGATTTATACACATTTCTATACATGTTTTCTATTTATACATCTAACTTATAAAATGCATTATTTGTTTCAGTGATTGATGATTTTCAAGCTCCAATAACTCTTAAAATGGTTAAGCATTAATTTGCACTCATCATTGATTTCGTCGTAGTTCAAATCACGGTTCAGGTTCGAGATCTTCCTTTGAGGAGAAAATTTGGAATTTATTGAGAAAATTAAATATGGTGATAAAAAATCATTTTTTTTGTTCGGATAAAACATCAATTTTTTTGTTCGGTTAAAAATCGGAATTTATTGAGAAGATTAATTATTTATTGGGATTAACCGATAACCCAACTGAACCGGCCGTTGAATTTTCGGTTAAAAACCGAACCGATTTTCGGTTTTGGTAATAGATTAACCGAAAATTCGGTCGGTTCGGTTCGATTTTAATCGAATGAGAAACATAATTATACTGAATTACTAAATACCGTCCCCTTATTAGTTATTACTACTTATCGCCCCCAAAAAGACCATTTTGTCCTTTACTCCTTTTTTTTTTAAAAAAAAGTACCCTCTTCAGAACCACTTACCGGACGGACCGAGCCCCGAAAAATTTCGAAAACTCCTCCGAATAATTCCGGCGAAAAAATACTTTCCAACGAGACCACTGTCGCGGCGGCCGGTCAAAGTCCGGCGGGCCGGACTTTTTAGGCCAGGCCAATGTTGGCCGCCATAAGCGGCCGACCGGACCTTGACCAGCCGCAGTCGCCGGTCGGCCGGCCGGCCGCCTTTTTTTTTTGCGCTTTTTTTTTTAATAAAAATAAATTAGTTATTTTAAAATATATTTAAATAATTTCATGTATATTACTATATATTTTATATTAAATTAAAAAAATTAATAAGTAAAATATATTAATATATATTTTCATTAATGAAAAAAAAAATATAATTAATATGTATGTGTATTATATGTATGTGTATATATTAATATTTCGTGTATATTAATTAGTTTGTATATATATTTATTTTTTTTCGCTCTTTTTATTTAACTTCAAATATTTTTAAAATAATTTCATATATATTATTATATATTTATAAATTAAAACATTAATAATTAAATTTGATTAATTATTAACATATATTAATAATTTAAATTAATATATATTAAATTATATATTAATAACTTCATATATATTATTATATATTCATATATATGTATATATATTAATATAAACTAATAAAATTAATATATATTAATAAAGTTAATATATTATATTATATATATTATAATTGTTATAAATTATGATAGTGTCGGCGAGTGGATAGGCAAATCATGAGTATATAAGTATATTCAAAGAATTCCCTATGCAGTTCACAACTACGTAGAGAGCTACCTGAATGTGAGGGCGGATGGGAAATGCGGATTTCGGGTGATTGCGAGTTACGTGTATAGGGACCAAGAGATGTGACGATTGACAAAAGTCAAACATTGCAAATGAGGTTGCAACCTACAGATAGTTGTACGCTCATTTCTATTTCAATGGTAGGATCGACGCCGCACTCGATCGGATAAGATGAGACGGGGGTGCTTGTGACGAGGAGCATTGGATGTGAGTTATAGTCGACCTCTTTCCTATTGCTACACTGCTTAATGCAGTTGTCGTGTTAGAAGTTATTACCATTTTAGATTAGAATTGATTGTCTTATAATTAGAATTTAATACTATTTTGTTAGAGACTAAAAATTATTATATTATAGATTAGAATTGATTATGTTATAAATTAGAATTTATTACTATTATGTTAGAAGTTAGAAATCATTACGGTATAGATTTAGAATTGATTGTTTTATAAATTAGAATTTATTACTATTTTGTTAAAAGTTATAAATTATTGTATACAGATTAGAATTGATTTTCTTATGAAGTAATATTTAGTACTACTATGTTAGAAGTTAGAAATTATTATGGTATAGATTAAAAATTATTGTTTTATAAATTACAATTCATTACTATTTTGTTATAAGTTAGAAAATATTGTATTGTAGATTAGAATTAATTATCTTACAAATTCGAATTAAATACTATTATGTTATAAGTTAGGAATTATTATGGTATATAATTAAAAATATGTATAATTAGCTTAGTAATTTTTTTATAATTTTAAAAGAAAGAATGAGCCTGGGTAAGAGCTTCATTTTAAAATATTTTTTCTCCCGGGTGGGATCTAAATTCTCTTGGGTAAGAGCTTCATTTTCCCGGTTGGGAGTTGAATTCCGGCGAATATTGAATCTATATTCGTTGTTTCTATCTATTGCTTTCTATCCTCTTCGTTATTTGGGTACGTGGGGCAGCTTTCTGGGGGAGGTTTGCGCAGGGATCGTGGTCTGTGAGAGCGAATTAGGGTTTCGTTTCTTTGATTTGGGGTTTAATCTAAGATGGAAGAATCCTCAGCAGGTATGGCTAAGGAGAGTGAGGGGGATGATGGAGTTCTCCAAAAGCTGGTTAAAATGTCCTTATCGGCAAAAGAAGCAGGAGAGGCTGAAATCACTGGGGATGATATCAAATCAAGTGATGAGGTGTGCAACAGAAGCTTATTTGGTAAGGTTGTGGGTGATAGGCATGCTGGTCTCCTGAGAATTAAGAGAACGATGGGCGCCATCTGGAGAATGCAACATTCCATGGAGGTGAAAGAGATTAGCGAAAAATTTTTCCAATTTATATTTCTCTCTCAAGAGGATAAAAAGAAGGTGTCTGCAGGCCATAATTGGATGTATGGAAACCAATACTTAATCCTAAGAGAATGGTTCCATGGGTTACATAGCAATCACAGTTGCTTTGATGAGATCACTCTTTGGGTTCAGGTTTTGAATGTTCCTCTGAATTGGATGAGCACTGAGGTTGGCCAGAAAGTTGGAAGAATTTTCAATAAAGTTAAAAACGTGATTGTTTGTAAGGTTGGAGGGGATGTAGGGAGTTTTCTGAAACTGCTGGTGGCAATCGACCTGAAAGAACCAATTCCCAGGTGCACATCCATTAAACTTGGGAATCAAAAGGTGATGGTGGCATTTAGGTACGAGAAATTAGTCAATCTATGCTACTATTGTGGGATGATAGGGCATCTGGACAGGAGCTGTAGCAAAAGATTGAGAGACTTTGAGAATAACTGTGTGGCTGATGGTCAGTTCGGGGAATGGCTAAAAACTTCTGAGACATTTGCGGGGGGAAGGAGTATGCAGTCTGACAGTTCAGGTGAGAAAGTAGATCACCCGAAAACCAACCCAGTCCAAGGTTCCTTTGCCTCTGGTAATATTATTTCCAATGTGGGTCAACGAGAGATAATCAGAAGCAATGAAAGTGGGGATCAATCACCCCTTGTTTTGGGGGAAGTAGGAGGCCCAGGTGATAGGTATGGAGAGATTCAAGAATTTGTGGGGATGGCTGAGCCAACACCTAGCAATGTGGCTAATCATGTGGAAGATGAGGGAAGAAACAGAATGGAGGTGGAGAAATGTGTGCAGGTTAAGGAGTTTATTATTGATGAAACAGTGGGTGAACTTTGTAAAGCCGATTTGAGAAAGATATCTGGGGCTGAGTGGAAGAGGCAAATCACATCTAAAAGTAGACTGCAGAGGGTTCCTGTGAAATCCAGTGGGCTAGATCATTCTGAAAGTCTCAAAAGAAATAGAGCTCTGGTTATCTATGATGGGGTGGACAATGATGCAGAGGCAGATAATGGAAAAAGGAAGAAGAGTAAAGGTGAGCAATCTGTGGTGGATAAGGCCAGCCATAAATGGCCCCAATGTGATCAATGAAAGCTATGGTGTGGAACTGTAGAGGGCTGGGTGGGCCCTTTACAGTTTCCCAGATCAAGGATTCTAGAAGAATCCATCACCCAAATATAATATTCTTATCTGAGACCAAGAAATCTGTACAGTTTACTAAATCAGTGTGTAGAAAGTTGGGCTACCAAGATAGATGGCATTTGGTGAACCCTCAGGGAACTAGAGGTGGCTTGCTGTTAATGTGGGACAGCTGTGTGGAGATTAAGCAAATTGTAGGGAATGGTTTCTGCTGCCAAGTTGAGCTGAAAGGGGCAGGGATGTCTGATTGGGGTTGGTTTATTTTTGTGTACATGAGTACAGACAGAAGAGAGAAGGGAGAGCAGTGGGAATTTCTTGAAAGTAGCAGAAGGAGGTGGGGCAATAGCTGGCTGATGGCTGGGGATTGGAATGATCTAGTTTCTAATGAAGAGAAAAGAGGTGGTGTGAGGAGGTCTCCTAA